CAAGAGCCATCTCAGCCTTGGCCTCAGCTCACTGCAAGGTTTTGTTCTATGGGCAGAGCTGCAAGGTGCCATCAGGGCTCCATGTGTGGTGGGGCTGCCACAGGGATCACACTTGCTTCTGTGACACTGATGCATGGTTGTTTTGCAGGAGCTCCCAGAGCAGGTATACCTGCACCCTCCCCTCAGCATCTTTGTGGTGGAACAGCGAGCATTTGGGCGCACTGTGCTGGTGGGTAGTCATGTTGTGTCCGACGTGATGAAATTCTCTCCCAGGGAGCTGGAGGAGGAACCAGAGGATGTGACCAAAGGTGAGCTGCTTGGAGAAGTTCTCATGGAGACAACAGGCAGGTTCTGCCAGTGGCAAAGATCCTTGGCTCTTCCACACCCTCCTAGCCAGGCAGCAAAGGCCTCTCCTGGGAGTCATAAGATCACAGAATCACAGAACGGTTTGTTTTGGAAGGCAGCTTAAAGACCTTCTAGTTCCACCCCCTGCCATGGGCAGGGACACCTTCCACCAGCCCCGGGTGCTCCACGCGCTGTCCCACTCAGGGTTAGGCCAGCCACAGCTGCTCTGGGCAATAATCTCACCACCCTCACAGGGAAGAACTTTTGTAGTGAGACCTCCATCTTTAGGGAGCTACTTCACTAGGACCAGGGATTGAAAGCTTTGCAGTTCTCTTACATCATCAGGTCATGATCTGTTCATTGGGTAATGGATTTGCTAAAAAGCTTTATGATAGCAACAGCCAGAGCTCCTGATCTGGAAGCGTGAAGGGGAAGAAGCAAAGAATTGATCCATCTGATGTAATTTCTCAGCAGGGAAGGTATATCTCATAAATCTGAACTCCTGGGAGGCAGCAACAACCATGTTGATGATGGTGTCCAGTCTCAGCACTGTACTTGGATTTCCAATTGGTCTTTTGCAGGGTGTGCTATGAAAAGCTTTGAAATCAATCACACTCTAGTGGGTTAACAGGGAGGGTTTTCCTGTGGAATAACAACTGGCCAGAAAGTAGGATGCAATGGGCAGAAATAAATGCATGGAAACATGAAGCTCTTTCTTTTCCTCTCAGCTCAGAAAGTCTCATCCCACCGTCTTCCCTCTCAGACTGTGGTAAACATTGGACTGGCAACTGGTGACCCAGGTCCCAGCACCAACCCCCTTAGTCTTGTGAAGGTGAGTGATGTGTGGGCCCAACAAATTTTGAAGTTTGGAAAGCCAAGCTGAAAGTTACAAACAAAAAAAGGAAGTTCAGAAGTTTGGAGTTAGGTTTCAACCACCAAGTTTTGCTCTGGACCCAAACACTCCTCTCTCCTGCCTGCTCATTGGCACTGCCATGTGCCAGGGCTCTGGCACAGGGAGGAGGAGGAGACCTGCCCTGTGCCTTGGGATCTGCTGCCTTTGTAGCAAAGCACAAACCTGGGGCCACAGGTAGCTTTGCACCTCCTGTGCTCTGCCTGAATGCTGAGCCTCTGCCAGAAGCTCCCAGAGCACTGGAGCAGGGTGCATGGGTGTCCCAGCTGGTCACTGCCTCACTCTGAAATCTTTTCTTTTAAGGCTCCTTTGAAGAAAATTCCTATCAATAAGCTTGTAAAGAAGGAAGATGAATATGAAGAGGAAAAACCAGAGATGGAAGAACTGGATTGGTGGTCCAAGTACTATGCATCCCTGAAGGAGCTGTATAACCAGGTAATATTTGGTGACAACTGCCAGCAGAGGGAAAAAGAGGCTACACTGGAAAAAGGAAGATGTTTTCAGCAATGCTGAGTATCACAGGAGCTCTCCTCACATGGATCTGCAGAAACATGTGGGTTTTGTATGTCAAGCATACTTAAGGCAGCCAGGTATCAAACATTCACCAGGTGGGTTGGTTTCAGGAGGCAGTGGATGCTGAAACACCCCTGAGGCTCAGTGCCCAAGTGGTGTGAGGATGAAACAGCTTTTATTGAGGGACTCCTGAAAATGTGACATTGCTGATTTTAGCTGGGGCTTTCATGCTGCTTACTCTGTCCTAGTTGTGTCCCAGTATGGGCTATGGGAGCAAGTCTGCTCCAGATTTTCTTCCTTGCCCTGTCCCCCTTAAATCCCAATCAATAGTGGGATCTGAGGAGAAGAGAAGGTCATTAAGGCACTCATTGGGTACCTTTCTGCAATGAGTTATTGCTGAATGGCCTCAGGCTAGGTATTACTGACTGCTGTCAGGAAAGCATTGCCAGTGCCCTGTGCTTGGAAGGAGAGGCCTTGGCTGTCAGGGATCTGGGGTGACTGTCTGTGTGTGTGTTTCAGACACGCAGTGATGAGGAAGATGCCGAGAATGATGACCTGAATGATGCAGGTGAGTCCTCTAGCAGTACCCAGTTGTTCTGTGGAAAGAGCCAGGACTTTACACCATACCAGAGGGTTCTGGGCTTGTGGGAATGGTGTCTGAGCAGAACATTCAGCAGCAACAATACTAAATGGAGCAGAGAGGCTGGAGACATTAACAAGGGCTAACAAAGGCTATTTCAAGTTGAAAAGACCTAACTTTCCTCAAGAAAGTTTGTAAAATTGTCAGAGAAGTCCTGGAAAGTGGGGGGAAAAGTCTTGTAAAGTCTGTTAAAACAAGAACCTTCCTGAGTGAGCAGAAACCTGCAGAAAAATTAGCTGCAAGGATCATGGAATTGTCAGGGTGAATGGGAGGCAGTGGTGGGATGGTGGACAGGCAAATCTGTTCAGGAGCTGGGCATCACTGTTCACATGGGATACTCCCCCAGGGTACAGGATTCACTATGAGGTAACAGAAAGACAGTAATGATAACCTGTGAGCTGAGAACAGTGTTACAGCTGTCAGCTCAGGTTTGCAGAGGTGTAAGCAGTGACTCAGCTAGCAATGACCTGGGAAGGTATGACTGTATATATAGAAATTATGTATATCCTCTTTAAGGAGAGGGCTAGAGGGTACCTGCATGCCATTAGTGCTTAAGGGATCTGGGGCCTTGGAAAATGGGGCAAGGACATACCCACTCTGTCCTTGTTTTGGTGGTGCCCTAGAGAAATGTCTAGCCATGGTCTCTCCAGGGCCAGAGAAAGGTCTAGCCATCATCTCTACAGGTCCAGCTGCCTGTGCCCAAAGTGGCAGTGATGCTTCAGTTAGACAGCCACCCAAACCAAGGCACCCACCCAAAGGGGAGGGCAGGCTCTCCTCTGAGCCTTTCCTGACAGCACCTGTGGGCTGGTCCAGCCACCTTTCATACTTGGTCTCTGCCCATGTCCTTCCTGAACAGCAGCCATGCTGGCCGGCAGGTCTGTGCCCATTTTTGTCCCTCCCGCATCCAGCCATGCCTTACTGAGAAACCTGAGATGCCAGCAGGATCCCTTTTACAAACAGATAGCTCCCGTTGCCCTGACACAAGTCAAGGCCCTGGGTGAAAGCAGAAGCTGTTGCTAGGATCGTTTCATGGACAGACACTTGAAATGATGGGTGGAATCAGAGCATTTCCTAATCTCTTATCACCATTTCTAGATGGAGGGAATTTAAATGCAGCCTACATTGACATGGAAGCAGAGGATGAGGCAGTGATTGAAGCTGAACCTGCTCGACCCAAGAGGAAGCTCATTGCTACCCTTCAGGTGATAATTGGGGTGACCTGGTCTCTTTCAACCCTGACCCTTTGTCCATGTCCTCCTCACCTCCCTGCAGGGGATGTTACACTGGGAGGAGAACCCGCAGTGTGTGCTGAGCTCCCCAACAGCTAGTGAGATCTTGGAGCCAAGCTGGGATGTGTGTGCACATCCTAGACTGGTGTGAGGGGATGCAAGGAAACCATAACCCCCTGCACTGAGTAATAACAGGGGTAAGGTAGGACTAGGTGAAGTGGTTGAAGCAGGGACAGGATGGTCTTTCTAACTCTCCTTCCCTGTAAGATGGCAGAGAAAAGGCCCCAAATTACTTTCTACTTATTTCAGATCTACAACTCTGAGCTGGAAAATGAGTTTGGTAATTTTGAAGACTGGTTGTGTATTTTCCCTCTGCACCGTGGCAAAGCAAATGAAGATGAAGATGGAAATGAGGATGAACATTTAGTGGGGAAGTACAAGGTACTCTATCATTTGGATGACATTTGTGCTGCTTGTGGAAGAAAATCCTTAGGACAACCTATATTTTAGAGCAAGCCAACTCCAGCAAAACCTTGGAGAGGGCATGTGTGTACAAGGTGATGTGAGGCTGTGCCAGGGGGTCTGTTGGTTGTTGCCTGTTGAAGCAATTGTGTACTTGTTGGTAAATCCATCTGATTGAGATTTTTTTTTTTAGCCCTTGTGAGGAGAAAGCATGAAGCATAAAGGATTCATTTTGGTTGGGGCCTCTGGGTGTATTCAGTATGCACATAGGAATTAGTGAGCTTCACTGGTTTTAAAATTAGCAAAATTTATTTAAAAGAGGCATCATCCTCCCACTCAGGAGCTCTGGAAGACTCTGAAATATCAACTACTGAAGCTGATTTAAGAAAGTCCCTAGAAAACCTTTGGTGTCCCCTGTCTTGGGCAGACCAGAGTGCCTGAAGATGCTCAGATCTGGCATTGGCAGTGGTCTGACAGTCTGCAGCCTAAATTGCAAGCAAGGATTGCCTGGGCCATGTAGACATGATAGGGCCTTTGGAAAGGACTGTCCCCATGGGCACAGGGTGTCTGTGGTCTGCATGGGGCAATGGTGCTGATTTCTAGTTGGCAGGCAAAGCTGGTCCTGGTGGCTCCAATCCTGTCTGAGATATTCTCTTTTGTGTCTGTTACTTGAAATGCCTTTTCTGCAGGGATCCTTCTATGTATACCCCACTGAGGAAGCTGGCCCGGAGCCCAAGGTCTCCCGGGGCGTTCCAAGGAACAGACCCATCAAGGTTCTTGTAAGAGTTTACATCGTTAAGGTAAGTCTCTGATGGGGGTGGCA